CTTCAACTACCGGCTTCTCAAACTCCTTCCACTTGACGCCCTTGACACTGCGTGTTTTTTGTTTTTTTTAAACCAGATGTCTCTTGGTGTTCGTGTTTCTCGTGCCTCAGCATTTTCGTTCGCATGGCCCTTTCATGCCAGTATTCTGATTTATCACACTTCTCACATTGATTTCTCTTCCTCCTCTACTTGTAAAAAGAAAATCTTGTTGTTTAGGCACAGATGGCAGATGAGATTTAGCATTATCAGAGTATCAGAGTATTCATGTTATATTCATGAGCTATCCAGAGTAGCTTGTTAGTAAGGGATATTAAGAAAGGACACCCCCTCCCTCCCCCAAGAGAGGTCATGTCTCACCTTTGAATGTACTTCTCTTGGTTTTATCTTCTGAACATTCAATTACTGACAAGCCCTCCTGGATTTTAAATTTCAGTTGTAGGTTTCGTTTCTTTCTTTTTTTCTTAGATTATTTTTTATTGAATATTTTATTTACATTTCAGATGTTATCCCCTTTCCCTATACCCTACCCACCCAGAGACCCCCTCATCCCATCCTTTTTCTATGAGGGTATCTATGAGGGTATGCCCCCTGCCACCCACCCACTCCCACCTCCCCGCCTCGAATTCCCCCACACTGGGGCATCCAGTTTAGAAACTAGGAGAGAGACAAAGGCCTGTCCTGGGAACCCTAAATGGAGTTGGGGATTAACCTACAAAAAAGGAAAAAAAAAACAAAACAACAGAGCCAGCAACTTTATCATGTCTTCCTTCCAGCTTGCCTCCATCTTCCAGTGTTTCCTATGTACAAAGGTAAAAATAGAAACATTGAATTACTTTGGTAGTGCTGCTATAACAAATGATCAACAGACTGGGCTTGCCAACAGCAAAGAATTTTGCATTTCCCAGATATGGAGGCCAATAAGTGAAGAACCTATCCCGTGCTCCTGACCTGGGCTTTTTCTATAGCTATCTTTGTGTTTCTTCTTTTTCTTTTCTTTTTCCTATCTATCTTTTCCCATTTTACAAAATATCTTTTACACAAATACCAGTTATATTCAGTTAGGTGTCACTCTAATGAACTAATTTTACTTTTAATGATTTATTTTCCTATTGTAATTGTGTGTGGGGTGTTGTGTGTATGGAGGGTTAAGGAGTGGTGGAGGTATGGAGGCGGGTGTGGGTTCCCATGGAAACTAGAAGTTTTGGATTCCACTGGAGCTACAGTTACAGGCCCATTGTGAGCCCTCTAATGTAGGTACTGGTATCTGGACTCAAATCTACAGGATCAGTGCAGGAGCTTGAGCCCAAATGAACATTTAAACAGGTCTATAAAGGCCTTGTCAGGGGTAGAGAGATACCTCAGGTATTAAAGTCCATGAATCTTAGTTTGATTCCCCCATACCCATGTTTACCAAACAAAGAAACGAAAACAACCAACCAAACAACAACAACCAAACCAAACAAACCAAAATCAAAACCAAAAGAAACAAACAAAAACCCAATCTTGGATACTTATCTAGAGCTAGAGAGATACAGACATGTCTAAACCTAGGTCCTGGTACTCCCTGATCAGCCACCCACTCCTCGGAGACCTCTGAGACAAAGCGAGATGCTGTCTAAAAGGAGGTAGACAGCTCCTGTGGAACGATACCTACTCTCCTCTGCTCTCCACATAGTCATACCCTCAAACACATTCATCAACACCCCACATACGTGCATCCATCCACACATACATGAGCATGCATGAACACACAGAGGCACGCAAAGACCCTCTCATCAAATAAAGTCACATTCAATGATACTAGGCGGTACACCTTCAACATATGTGTTTAGAGAATTTGGGGGTTTAGGTTGGAGGACACCGTTGAACTGATAGCAGAAACAGTTATCGAACCGAGAGTAACAACAGGGAAACCTGCATTAAGTTTAGTTTGTAGATGATTTTGCCAATTGTGACACTGATTTCAGAAGTCGCTTGAATGTTTTCTCTAACAGTGGACAGTTGCTTTGGAGTAAATATAGAACACAATGAATTTCTGCAGTGTATTTGGCTTTCTTCTTTATTATATATTCAGATCTTGGTTCTCTTGGTCTTGTGTATGTGTTTTCATTGAATTGGCAGTGCAGAGTATTAAATATAATTCAAGTAAAGATTTGTTACACAGATCATTACCCTTCTGTTACCATGTCTGGGGGGAAAAATCAAAAAGATATTTGTCCGATGCTTAAGGGACTAAGGTAGTCTTGAAACACTATAGGTTTCCAAGTTGGGAGACGAGGAAAACAGAGAGGGAAGGGAAAGAGATACTGGAGGTGAATCCTTTGTTAAAGAAAAACGTGCATTAAGGATTCACTTTTCAAACCCACCAACCACAAAAGGGTAAATGGCTTGCTTCTGTGTATCTCATTTCCCTCAGTTATTTATGTCAAGGTACATTTTTAAGTAATGTCACCATATTTTCTTTCCTCTTGTGGGAGAGAACACATCTAAAACACGTTGAATCATTGCTTTTCTTGAGGTTTTAAGAGTGTTTTTGAGGGATTCATGGTAATTTAAATCCCTCTACTGAAATCATCCATGCTGCTAAATATTCAGCCTGTAATTTTCTTCCTTTTGCTGGGTATGGAAGCATATTTTTATGACACTACACTGCATGCCTCAGAATGGTGAGCCTTCATAAGCCAGCCCAGATCCTTCCCACTCTACAAAAGGCTGCACTTGAAGCAGAGAAAATAGAACACAAAATTACTTAGGAGGTGAATGAAGTGGGTTGTGGTGAGCAGAGTGGGTGGGCACAGAGAAAGCCGGAGCACAGCATGGCATGCAGTGTCAGGGAACTCTCAAGGACATTTCGCCTACCAAATTAAAACTCGTCAGTTTAGAAAGTATCTATTTACATGGGATGGTTTGTGAGAGAAACTTTTGTGCATAGCAGTGGAATGTTTGCTTGGGATTCTGTTAATGACGTCTTAGGGTTCTGTTGGGTAGCTTCCTACATTTTAATTTAGACCATTATACTCTTTTTGTCATTGTTGTGAACTTTTTAATTTATCTATTTAGCTATCTAACACAGATGAGCTTAAAAAAAAAAAACCCAAAATAAACTGTCATTCAAAGTCCCCTGTTAAATGGACCTAGGCAACTCTCTTAACTTACTGGTCATGATTCTTACTGCTTCTGAATATTAGCGTATATGAGGTTGACTATAGCAATGTTAATATAACTTTCTTATTATAAAACCAAATACATTGATTTTTAAAATATTTGGAAAACATAGAAAGTCACATAGAAAAAATGTAAACTGAGAACAACATCTTTGTTAGGGAAGAACAAATTTTTTAAGGATCTATTTCTTTCCAACCCACCAACCATAAAAGATTAGATGGATCTTAGTTAACTGAGATGACCTGAGACATCTCAACATCTGAAACACCTTATGTTAACTTACTTTTTTTCTGTCTGGTTGATAAATGTGTCTCCATCCCTTTTTTTTTCTTCTCCACTTTGTTTCCCATTCCTTGATCAGGCATATATTAAACATTGGAATTCAATTGGACCCAGGTTTTATGAACTACTTTTTTTTTTGTGACACCATGGAACTTTCCCCAAGCATTACATCAGACTGGAGAGAGGGCTTAGGGTTTAGGAGTGTTTAGTACTCTCACAAGACCCAAATTACTGTTCCAAACATCCACATGGTGTGATACACAACCAACTGTCACTCCAGCTCTGGGGGAATCTGGCATCTTGTAAAGGCTTGTGTAGGCCCCTAAGCACGCACACACATACACACATTATATATATATATATATATATATATATATATATATATATATATATAT